AGTTAGGAGCACTGGCTGCTCTTTCAGAGGACCTGGTTCTGATTCCCAGCAATCTCATGGCAGCTCACAACCATTCATGACTCCAGTTCCAGGAGACTGGACACATACAGGGTACACAGACATGCATGCAGGCAAAACGTTCACATACCAAAAAAAAAAAAAATCAAAAAAAATTTAAAGCAAAAACAGTAAACATTTAAAAAGTGCTTTTTTCTTTTACATAATCATTGTTTAAATAACTAGACCTTAATCAAATGTAATGATAAACCATTGCAAAATTGTTACTGTAGGGGCTTACTGTGTGGCCTGACTGCTCCTGAACTAAGTATGTAAACTAGGCTGGCCTGGAATTTATAGTAATCCTCCTGCCTCTGCAATTCCATCTCCAATCTCCAAATGATGGAATCACACGTGTGGGCTGCCAGGTTGGCCTATAAACTGGCTTAAAAAATAAAATAAAAACTACCTATTAGTACAAGTCTAATTCTGATACAAATTTCAGAAATCAACTTTGGGGAGGGGAAGTTAGGTTCTTAACATTGAAACACTATTACCATTAAAATCGCTATTACAATGGTTCCAGTGACCTCCATCCCTCTACAGGTCTACTTCCTGGACAGTTTAGGAGTGATGTCTTACTCCTGCTGGGTGACAGTTCAGTAATGCCCTGATCTGGGGCTGTCCCTCCCTCATTGTCCTGCATTTATAACCTGCACACATGGCAAGGCAAGGCTTGAGATTTTTCAAAAGTGCCTACATGAAGTTTCACAAATGTCCTACTAGACAAAGACCACCACCTCATAAAGCTATATAACACTGAAATGTAAACACACTTGCCTTCTCCTCTACATTAGTCAACTAACATTAGAGTGAATCTAATCTCCTGAGCAGAGCATTTGCTAGGGCGTGGCCCAGAATGCAAGCAAGCAGTTGTCAAAAAGGCATTTGATTGTTCTATAATGAAAGAAAAGGCATATGAACACAATGTGGTTGGCTAATTATGGACTAGAACTGATGCGACTATGCTCAGTAACCGGAATCTTGAGTGCAACTCAAGATTAATCTACAACACTTATCAACAGACAACCTAGATAAGATAACCAATGCAAAGAATGCACCAAGTTTATCTTAATGATACCACGGCTGGTGTAAATTACAAACACAAACCCTTTGATCTGGGATTCTGTGCTCTCACTACTCACCAAGTGACTTTTCTCACCTGTGTCTTGTGTACAATCCCTGCTGAAAACATGTCTTACATCGCAGTATTTGATGCCCAAAGTATATTTACTTTTTTACAGTGTTATCTATGTACACAAAATACAGAAACAACTCTTCCTTAGACAATTTTTTGTTACTATATTCCATAATTTAAATGTTAACTGTAAGCCAGACCTGTTAACAAGTGCCTATAATCTTAGCACTCAGGAAGTAGAGCTTGCTTGTGTTTGAAGCCAGGACTCAAAACAACCAAACAAATTTAACTGCAGCACATGGCACCCTGCCTGCCTTACTTAATACTAGATGATATCCAAACCTGACTACGTTAGCTCTAAATGTATTTAATTAACAAGCTCATTTAATGTTTGCAAAATCATCCACCAGGCACCAACATTTTTTGTTCTGTTTTGTTAGAAATGGTAACTATTTATTCTGGTGTGTGCTTAGTGTTCAGCTTGAGAAACTAACTCTGGGTATACCTCAATCCTCACACTGCCTCTGTTAGGGAAACCAAATTGAGGTGTATGTAGGCATTACTGTTGTAAGGATTCAGGCATTGTGCTAGCCTGTCCCTATCACCTGACAGGATGCACTCAGGCAGTACCCTGGTCAGCACACAGGTGAAAAGGAGCCCTAAAAAAAAAAAAAAGAAAAGAAAAAAAAGGCCCTCACCCACTTGAGCTCTCTTTCCTGCTGTACCCCTGGGGCAGACAGGACTTTCCTTGTCTCCCTCTTCTGTCCTCTCTGTCTCTATTTTCTCTTTCCTCCCAGGTCCCTCCCTTTCTAATAGCTTCTCACTTAGGCTGTCTGCCCAGCTTGTTTGTGCCCCTCCCTCACCTGCCATCAAGGTTCACCATGAGTTTTTATCATTAACTGTAACCCTGTGTTCGAGACTGATTATCAAATAATGTGATGCAACACACACAATTTCCATTTTCTAAAAGGTTTACAGCAAAATTACAGACAGGGTTTCTCTGTAACAAACAACTCTAGCTGGCTGTCCTAGAACTCGCTTTGTAGCCCAGGCTGGCCTCAAACTCAAGAGATTCTCCTGTCTCTGCCTCCAGAGTGCTGGGATTAAAGGGAGGTGCCACCACAACCCCCATAAAATTACTTTTTAAATAAAAGGTTTCTAAATTATTTAATGTACTTAAAAGGCAAACACCTCAGATCAAAATAGAACATACACAGACCTAAGTATAATAAAACCAGAAAATTATGTCCATCTATAAAATCTCAGGAGGCCTTTATACAAACAAAACAGACTGGGCAACTTTACAAAGTAAAAAAAAAAAAATGTATTTTTTAATACCACCAACATTAAATTTATGACAGAGGAATGGGGACACACAACTAGAAATATTTGCTTATATAAAACCCCTTTTCAAGAATAAAAAAGCTATTATCAGAAAATGTAAAAACAATCACAAAGTTTCAGTGTTAAAAAGTACACCAATACACCCTTGCTGGTGGGAATATACTATAACAAATTTCCAGGAAGGCACCATGATAACATGCTTTCAAACTCCACCATGACAACTCTACAAGGTTTATATGAGCAGCCTAGAAATCCTATGAACCGATCCCAATGACATAAATTTGGAAAAGATGTACATTTACAAGAGGGAGAATGAAGGACCAGTACAAATAGGTTAAAAAAAAAAAGATATTTATACAGTGGGACACTAGTCAAGTAAATTAATAAAAATGGTGATATAGGTTATATATGGTTAGGATCTCTTTTGGCCTTTAAAAAAGAAACATCACCCAAATTGCAGAAAAGACATACCAGAATGTTAATGGTGGACCAGGAAGGGCTTTGACGATTTTAACTAAAAAGCACCCCTCTTAGCTGAGAGCCCCATAGGCACATAGATGTCCAAACCTTGTCTGAGTCTGAGTATAGGAGCCCTTCTCCACAGCAGACCCAACATGTCTAGGTGCATGACCTTGAAAGTGGAGAATGGATTTCAGCCTCCTCTCACCCACATTTCTTAAAAGAATGTCCTTGTGCTGGGATCTTCAACTAGTCATGCCACTCTGCACCAGCTTACAATTACCACAAAACTTCCTATCTGAGCATAACGGTGATAATAAATGATTCCATTAAGAGATCTTGCCCAATCCTTTCAGAGCTCTAAGCCCAACTGTATGTTCCACTACAATCCTTATGCTTTGTACAAGTTATCTACTTAAATGCATATGACCAAGGAAATCTATATCCTGAAACAAAGATTAAGACAGCACGATCTGAGCTGCCACGATGGTCCACTCATGTAAGTGACTGAGAACGAGGACTCCCCGAAGCTAATCTGAGGCCAGTCTAGGCTACAGTGAGAGCCTGCAGAAGCCTTAGCGAAATGAAGATAATCAGTGCTAGAAATGAGAGAGGCAGGCAGAAAGGCAAAAGGTAATCTACAAAAACAAATCTCTCTCCACCACCCCAAATAGCTCCAGTTGAAAGCACACTCCAGAAACAAGCAATTATCATCATTCTCCCTTGAACTCTGGGTGGAAGATCGATTTCTTCATCACATGGTGAGCTCCCAAGAAAAGACAGTAATTTAAATAAAAATTGTACATGATTACTGGGCAGTCAGGCAAGGCATCTGTAAGATAATACAACCACTGGACTGGGATTAAAGGAGACTGGGCTCTTTTCTTGGCCCCATGGAATATGTAATTTTACACAGGCAAAAATCACAACCTCTGGGTCGCATTTTCCTCATTTCTGAAGTGGAGGTTGGGAATTTAAAAAAACAAAAAAACACCCTTTCAGGGCCCCTTTCAGCTTGTGACAGGACGTCAAGTCGCCTTCCACCCTGGAGGAGCTCACTTCAAGTTTTTTTCTGAGCTCATTTACTGTGTACATGCTTCTCTTTAAAATAGCATGCCAACAGTTCTCAGCTCTAGAAATCTATTCTTGCTCGGAATGAAAAAGGAAAAAAAAAATCTGTCAAGATTCACTAACAAAATCCTTTTAAAAAGGATTTCAAAAAAATTGTTTAAGTATAAAGGCAATAATGCAACACATTTGTCCACCTTCTCTAACATCTTTTGAACCAAAAAAAAAAAACCCAAAAAACAAAAACGCACCTTAAAGCAACACAACACCCAGAAGATGGATTCACTATTTCTTTTTAAAACAATGAGTTCGCGCAGAGAAAAGCTGCTAACATTCAACCATCACTCAAATGTTTTGAAGACCGGGGGCGGGCGCGAGTAGGGGGGGAAGACAGGGTGTTTAGACAGGGCTATCTTTCCCCAAGCAAAATCCGCAAGGCAGGAGAGCTGTGACCTCCGAGCACGAGGAAACCCTCTCCCAGCCGGCCTTTCTCGCTCGGAATTCCAGTGCATTTTCGCGGACAATGTGCCCCAGTGATTAACTCCCGGTCACACGTCCCTGCAACCCACCCACTCACACATACACACACACACACACTCGGCGCTCGCCCGCACTCTCCCGGGCGTCCGGGTGGCAGCGTCGCCGAGTCACAAGATAGCGGGCAATGGAAATTTCCTCTCCCCAGGCAGGCGAGGGGCAGGTCCGGCTTCCTCAGTCGGCGCGGCCCGGGCCTCCCGGGCGCGCTCCCCACAAAGGAGGCCGGGCCGGGCCAGCGGGTCCCGCTTCCGGCGCCGCTTGCGGCGGGAACCGGCAGCACGTGTGGCCCGCAGGGGCCGGGGATGGGGCCGCCCAGCCTCGGAGCGGGGCCCCCAGGCCGCGGGCAATGAATGGAGCCGTCCGCCGCGCCGCGCCGCCCGCCCCGCCGCGCGCTCACCCCAGCTCTTGGCGGTGCGCCCCAGGAACGCTCCGCTGGTCGGGTTGTAGATGAACAGCTTCCACTCGGCCAGGCTCTGATGGAAGGACTTCTTCTCAGTCTTCGTCATGATGGGCGAGCGGAGGACGAGACGAACGGAGGCCGCGGGGCTGAAGGCGACGAGGGGCTCGGCGGCGCGTCCCGGCGACGGCGGCGCAGCCCAGGGACTGCGGCGGAGGACGGCAGGGCCGGGAACAAGTCTCCGTTACCAGACCACTCGAGCCGACTGCGCCGCGCCGCGCCGGGCGGCCGCTGGGGCCGCGGGAGCCTGACGTCTCCGCCCGCCACAGCCAATCCCCGCGCCTCTGGCGCGCACCGCGGCCGCTGCCTCCCGCCCGGCTGGGCGCGGCCCGAAAGCCCAGCGCCGCCCGGCTGGCCCCGCCCCGGCGACCACGCCCAGCTTGCCAGGCTCCGCCCATGACGCCAGGCCCCGCCCCCGAGCAGGCTCCGCTCCGCCCCGGCTCCCTGCGCCTGTAACCCCCGCCCAGGTGTGAGGAAGCCAGCGCTGCGGGGCTGCGGGCGGAAGTCTGGAGGGTGTAGTGACTAGCGGGGTGGTGGCCCGAGGAAGGTGGCCAGTCGAGTCTGCAGCGCTCTCCACTGGAAACCCAAGCCTCGGGCCATCAGCCTGAGGTGTAGCCGTCACAGCCTGGAGGGTGTCCTCGGCTCGGGAGCCTCCTACAAACCGCCACGGCGCGTTCTCCTCTAGGCTCTGTGACGTCGCTAAAAGACACCTGCGGCAGGGCTCGGCATCGTTTGTAGTGTCCAGTGTCAACTGGCTGCTGTGGACCACCTGATCCGGGTCCTCGGGCAAGGCGATTTTATTCTAAATATGCTAATGGTAACGAAATGGAGTAGCGCATACTTTTTCTCCAGATTCAGTTAAGCATACCAATGAAATCAATGTAAATGCTTTCCCGAGATTCCTGTCCACTAAAAGATGCCTTGATCTTTTTGCCTGGGCCCTCGATTTCTTAACTACAGTACTTGATGGAGTATGCACGCTTGAAACACTTTGCTGATGTTTTCTTGCCACTGGTGGCCGCTGCGCCCGGGCAGAGCAGAGGATGCAAACAGCGTTCTACAGGAGATGGAGCTGAAGAGCGAAGAGCTCTCACACCATAGATTGGTTTTTAAAAGACTCAAAATGGGAGTTTGGGCAGGTGAGATTATTTTTTTCAGAAAGGAAACAGAGCATCGCCTCTGTTAAATAACAATAATGAATGAATGAATGCAACACTTTGCAATACTTTTCTTCATAAACCACCTCCCCCCCAAAAAAAAATTTTATGATGACTGTCCAAACTCATGTTTGGTTTGGTTTGTGACAGGGTCTTCCTATGTAGCTTCAGCTGACTTGACACTGTATCCCGAGCTCTAGTCCTCCTCCCTCAGCTTCTTGAGTTTACAGACAAGTGCTGCGATGCCTGATTTTCAGTTTTTAACTTTTGTTTTGGGATGTTGGGGTTTGGAGGTGAGGATGGAAACCATGGTCTTATACATGCACTACAAGCATATTACCAATTGAACTGTCCTCCAGTTATTTTTTTTTTAAGCTAATAGCACCAGAAGTTTTGTAGCAACATTTTTGTAGAGTTTGGCATGGAGCTGATACTAGAAATACCAAAAATATGCAAGGAGCCTTCAGTGCATTTTTTAAAGATTATAGGCAAGGTTAAAGACTAAGGAATGCTCCTCTCCGCCAGATCGCCGCCATCATGGACACGAGTCGCGTGCAGCCCATCAAGCTGGCTAGGGTAACCAAAGTGCTGGGAAGGACCGGTTCGCAGGGACAGTGCACACAGGTGCGCGTGGAATTTATGGATGACACCAGCCACTCTATTCGAAACGTCAAAGGCCCAGTTCAAGAGGGTGATGTGCTCACCCTATTGGAGTCAGAAAGAGAGGCTAGGAGATTACACTGACCTTGCTGCTGGGTCCTGGATATCCACCGCTTGGCCCATGATGACCTGCCCCTATTGAATAAAGCATTTGTATTGAAAAAAAAAAAAAAGACTAAGGAATGAAAAACAATTTTACCTTAAAAAAAATTAACTGTACACAAGGGTAGAGCTAGAGTACTGATGGCTACATGCATTTTAGTTTAGGTAAGGGAAAAGATAGTCTATCTGGAATGAAATATAAAACCTATCTGCTAATGGCAAGCATATTTAAATAATGACCTGTTACATACAAAGAAAACAAGAACATTATGGAGTGATGTTTCAAAGATGTCTGGTTGTCTGAGAGTTTCAGTTTCTGTGTTTTAGTAGCCATAATATGGCTTTTATACTTAGTGCTTTGTGGCTTTTTTAAAATAAGGCTTTAAATACAAATACAATTCAGTAAACACTTTCAAAACTCATGGCTAGGCTAGTCTAGTCAGTATGGCAGCCAGTTCCAACAGATTTCAACTTGGCAAAATATTATACTCTATGGGAACTATTTGTTTCTCTTCTGTGTAATAATTGACCATGACCTGAAAGAGAAAACACTGATTGTCTTGGGATATTAGCCTGCTAAATATGAGCAGATTAAACACCAAATTCAGCCAGTTATATTCCTTGTAGATAACTTTCTCTTTTATAAGAAAAGTTCCTTTGCCAAGGTAACATGCAGGATGCCAACTTAAATTTGAATTTCAAAGATGATGCATAACTTTATTATAAGTGTTTTTAATGTTTTCCCTTTTTTTCATGTGTGTGGGTGTTTTGCTTGCACTATGTGTGCAGTACCCAAGGAGAGCAGAAGAGACCATGTCCCTAGATGTCACCATTGTGAGCTGCCCTGTAAGTGCTAGGAATTGAACCCAAGTCCTTTGAAGAACAACCAGTGCTTTGAACTCTCCAGCCCTAGTGTAAGTATTTTTAGTACATTATTTGATACAGGGCTGGCAAGATGGCTTGGCAGGGTAAGGCACTTGTTTGATCGCTAGGACGCACATACTGGAGGGCAAGAACTGACTCCTGCAAGTTGTGCTCTGCATCTGTGCTATGTGCAAGCACACACACAATAAATAAAGAAATGTGATAAATTTAAAATAATAATTAGGGATAGTTACCCTGAAAAACGCTGGGATTTATCTATCTGAAATTCAACTATAGGTGATATTCAACTTTAACTGAGTATCTTACATTTTTCTTTGCTGAATCTGACAACCCTACCTACCTGTAGAAGACACACATTAATCCCACAGTAGTAATGATCCATGTATAGATAACTAACATCCTTGCCCCGGACTGGGTAGTTAGTATGATTTACTTCATAATCTTCACAAAAACCCAAATCTGAAAGTGTTTGCCTGATTTATAAATGATTTGTAAACCAAAGTTTAGAGAAGCCAATTCACTTGTGGTTGCAATGCTAACTGGAGTTAGATCTAAGTGAGTATCTCTCTTCTGCTGCGCAAGGTAGAAATCTGGTGAAGAGTCGCCAAGCTGAGGGAATCAAAAGAAAGATCCAGTTGCAGACCACTTACTGGATGACAAAATCCATTTCATACTTTCTATGGATGCAGATAGAATCATATGGCCTTTAATTTACTGAAAATCTTAGGTTCATTCCTGAATTTTAGAAGCATGTGTAGAAAAAGGAGTTTGGGTTCTTTTAACCACATCATCTTTTATAAGTGAGTTTATTTTGTTTTGGTTTGTTTGGTTTGGTTTTGGTTTTTCAAAACAGGGTTTCTCTGTGTAACAGCCCTAGGTGTCCTGAAACTAGCTCTATAGATCAGGCTGGCCTCAGACTTAGAGAGCCACCTGCCTCTGCTTCCCAAGTGCTGGGATTAAAGGCATGTGCCACCTCCATCAGGCATAAGTGGGTTATAGCTGATATTATGTTGGCACTGAGTTTCTCTAAGCTTTATTTTATGCCTAAGAGAATAGATATTAAAATGCCAGGCTTGGTGGCATTTGCCTCTAGTCTAATCACAAGGGAGGCAGGAGGATCATCAGCCTTGGCTACAAAGCAAGTTTGATGTCAACCTAAGCAACCTTCCTCAACAACAAACCAAAATGACAAGATATCCTAATAAACACTGGGCTGGCATCTCACTGTTTGTGACAGTCATGTTCACATTCTTCTTTCTGCAGAACAAAGCCATTTTCTACTTGACTTTGCACTCTTGCAGATTGCAGGACAGATATATTTGTTGATGGTCTCAAGCACAGTGTGTAGTCTCAGCACTTGGGTGGTGAAGGTAAAAAGATGTAAATTCAAGACCAGCCTGGGCTCCATGGTGAGTTCAAAGCTGTAGCGTACCGAGTTACAATCTGTTCCATGAATCAGGAGAAGGCCTAGAGATTGAAATAAAGACAAGACAGAGGGTCATGCGTTCCATGGCAAAGTCGGAACATCAAATGCCGAATGCCGTTTATTGAGGGGCAAGAACGGGCTTAAATACCGACTTATAGCACAGTGGAAAATTACAGGAATTTTTTTGGCTTAGCTCCTCCCTGTGTTGTCACGGGGTGTGTTGTCACGAGGTGTGTGTCACGAGGTGTGCTGTCATGGGAAGAGTACCAACAAAAGCCTTGGGGCAAAGAGTTCTGGCCAACAGCTTCAGGCTAGCTCAAGGCGCCTCAGGGGTCCATGCAAGGCCCTACACAAAGCCAGCCCTAACTATGTTGTAAGATCCTGCTTTAAAAACTCAGAAAACAAAATGGCATGAGAGGCAGGGAATGGTGGTTCTTAGCATTAATCCCAACAGTTGGGAAGAGTCTTAGTTACTTTCCTATTGTGGGGACAAAATGCCAACACCAACTCAATTTATCAAAGAATTCACTGGGGTCTACAGTTTCCAACAGTGAGTCCGTAGCTACCATGGAAGGGAGCAAGGCAACAGGCAGGTAGGGATGCACAGGAGCAGCAGCTGAGAGCTTAGCCAACCCACAAATACCAGGCAGAAACAGAGCCAACAGTGACACACCTCCTCCAATAAGGCCACACCTCCTAATCTTTCCCATTCTCATTCAGACTACCACAAAAGATTGCTGCAAATCTGAAGGCAACATGGGATACCCGAGTTCCAGGACAACCTAGACTATATAGTGAGTTTTAGCATAGCCAGGGATGCATAGTAAGACCCTATCTCAAAAAAAAAAAAAAAAAAAAAAAAAAAAACGCTTCGTAAAGGGCCAGCTAAATGGCTCCGCAGATAAAGGTGCTCACTACAGAAACCTGCCAGCCTAAGTTCAATCCCGGTGAGCACCCCCCTTAAAAATGGAAGGAAATAACCAAATCATAAAATTTTCCTCTGTCTTCTACATGTGTGTGATGACACAAATCCCCCAGGCCACTCAATAATAATTAAAAAAGAAAAGGCATTAACACAGT